AGTCGTCGTCGCGTAGAAGGCATCAAGCACGCTGCTTTTCGTTGGTCGTTTGTCCTTGGTCTTCCTTGCTTTGGCATCGCCAGTGAGCGAAACCTAAAGAAGACCTTTTTGCATATTTCATTATGCTAAAATATTCAAACGTACTAAAAGAATGATCAAAGCGTAGTCAACTATAGATCGACAAGAGCAACTTGCACATGACAATGCGGGCCTGGTGGATACCATTTGGGTGGCCAGACGGGTGGCCAGCCAAGCCCCACCATGTTGCCAAGTCCGCTCACCATGCCTGCTCGAGGCTCAACCACACGCCAACCACCACTGCTGCGCGCTGGCCCTAGATTCCAAGCCGACGCCAACTACCACCGCATTTTTCGTGCCAGTGCCAACCCCTGCCGATCTGAGTATCTCATCCTACCACTACACATTCTACTCAGGATTCAATGATCGAGTCTCATTGACTCAGACTCTACGTCAGTGAGGTGAGACTGTATTCTCAACTCCCCACAAGTATATGTGTGATAACGATTGTGTTATTACTGATGCATCAATTAGTAATGGAAGTTAACGCTTGCTCAAGCATGACGAGAGTCCTTTGGGGAGCTAGGTCCGGCATGAGTCCGGAGGCTCGAAGCTCTCGATAGCGCAAAATTCTTGAGTTCAGTAAGCCCAGGCGATGACGCTTTGTTATGCTTTCACAACTGAGTTTGCACCATCGGCCACAACGCCGTGCTCGCAAAAAAAGCAAGGGCAGCTCTCTCGGCTGCTCTAACGTACAGTATCATTACGTCGCCCCGGTAAGTTGGAGCACTTTCCACCATGGCAAATCTGTCGGGGAAAGACAGCTTCGCGGGGGCCGAAATATGCCAAGAGACTTGCCAGGATTGTCGAGGACCTCAATCGACGGTGTGTCGCCATTGCTCATGGACACGGTAAAATCAAACGTTGGATTGGGGCTGTTCCATGCTCGCGGTTCGAGACAGTTATTGTGCTGAAGTTTCTTTGCTTGCGTTGATATAAATAATCATGCTTTGGATGTTTTGTATGCATGAATGTATATCCTGATACTTAGTCGCACCTTCGTGCGTCATGTCTGCATTAAGCAAGCAGTTGTGTTCATATTTTTATGCCAATATCCGATATTTTACATCAATCTCCGACGACATGCGTATTGCCTACCTTCACCCCGAAACTCCTCTTACGCTAGGCTGTTTGATTGGATAAAATGTTCACCTCACATAATGTGATTTGCTCCTCAAAATTCCACTGCTGATGGATGGTCACTAAAATGTCGGATAGAATAATGTTTAGTGGTCGGATCTTCCGGATTACTACCCTGTTCCACAAAATTTGTCTCCTACCAATTTTGATTGGCGGTATTTATCTAATAGGACCCCATTCGGGTGTCTAATTGGTGCGTAGGAAAGTGCAAGATCTCTGCTTTGATTGGGTAGTTACGGAACTTTCCAGCCATATTGGTTGTTGAGATATCGCGCGGCAAAACTGGTGGGCATTAATCTTTGTCAGAAAAATCTACCCCAGCACTTCATTATGCAGTTAATCGACTACAAAACACAATCTGCACTCACCTAACACCACTACAAGACCCCTCTACCACCCCCGGGATCCGTCTCACCAAGCAGTGACCGGGAGTCGTCGGACGTCCGCAGCACTCCAGTTTTGCTCTACGCTGAACCGTGTACGAAATGCTGTTACGCGTAGCGGTGGGAGGTATACTGCCACGAGGGCTCTGACCGAGCTTTCACACAAGTTTCACTGTCATTTGCAGATGTTATCACGGTTGTAGAGACAAGAGAACCTCTCCCGTCGTGATGATAACCATGCCACCGATGTCCCCTCAAAAAGGCAAGGGTAAATTCTCTCAAACATAATTGTTATACTGGTTTATGCAGTTAAAAATATATGGGAGTATACTTTGTAGGAAACTCAGGACGCCAAGTCAAGCGAACAAGTGACGAAGTTGAAGCTGCGATTCGCGGGGTTCCACAAATGCACCGTCAGACCTTGCGTTCCCTCTCGGCCGCCTGTGCAGTGCCCATGGCGACGATTTTTCGCCACATGAAGAATCCTCGCTACAAGGCCCGGTCGAATTACGTCAAGCCTCACCTCACCCCCGGGAACATCCAAGAAGAGCTCAAGTTTGCACTGTCCTTGTTCGGCCTTACCTGTTGGGCACCATCTTTTCACCGACATACATGACTATGTGCATGTTGATAAAAAGTGGTTCTACCTAACAATGGTTAAACGAAGGTACTATGTGTGCGACAACAAAGAGGTGGCTCCTTGTTCGGTCAGTCAAATCGTTTCATAACCAGAGTTATGTTTCGAGCAGCAGTGGCTAGGCCACGATATGACCATCATGGCAGAAAGAAGTGGCATGGAAAAGTTGGAGTTTGGCCCTTTGTTCAAGTAGCCCCTACACAGCGTGGCAGCAAGAACCGGCCGAAGAGCACCATCGTCACTACCCCTCAAACTGTTGATGCACCATTTACTTGAATTCAATATTGAATATGGTTTTCTCCGCCATCCAGGAAATATTTCCTGGGTTTGGTACACGGGGCAGTGTGCTGATTCAGCATGACAACGCAAGTCCGCAAATGTGTCGCCACTGAAATGCCTTGTGCAAAAGGAGTTAGCGGAATTCAAGCTGCGAACCAGCCGCCGAACAGCCTCGATTTCAATGGGTGAGACTTTAGTTTCTTTAATTCTATTCAAAGCCAGCATTACCAAAAGTGAACTCGAACCATCGAAGACTTATTGTTGCTGTAGAAAAGGCGTTCTAAGAGTTGCCGACTGACACGCTTGCAAAGACATTCGTAACTCTTCAAAAAGTTATGGAATTGTCCATTGAATCACATGTAGCAATGATTATAAACTTTCTTACATGAAGAAGGATGCTCTCATTACAGACTTTGCATCCTATAATGTCGAGTTTGACGCCTCGTTTACATGAGCGCTTTGGCTCATTGAATAGCCGACTTGGTGAGGAGGTTCAACTCGATGCCTTGGTCAATTCTCTTGAATGAGGCTCTACATCAATTCATTTGCAGCGTTTATGTTGTTTTGGAGTTGAATACAAAATGAAGAATTTCAATGGCACTGTAGATACTTTA